TTTAATAGAAAATAACATTCTGAATAGAATGACAAGATTTGTCAACTTTTGACAATTTCGCTTAAAAAATAGTACGTAATTTAAATTAAATATTTAATCAAGGAGCCTTGGAAAAAAACATTTGATAGTCTAATATGTTTTCGTGACGCTTCCTGGCCAGTTAAAAAATGCCCCAACGTATTTTAAATAATAACTCAATTTCTTGATGTCGAACAAGGGTGACTGATTAACATATTTGGAAAAGGCATTTTTTAGCGTATAACTGGCACCAAGTACTTGGTATTTCGAGTCAAATTGTCGTTGATTACAGCCATTGCACTCTAGGATAAAATCTAAAATACTGTTTTTTAAGCAAATGTAATTCTATTCAGAATATCATCAGATACAGTAAAAAGATACTGAGGGTACCGTTCAGTGGTACATCTAGAGATTAACTCTGGGAGGGGGTAATGCCAGTATTTATGTAAAGTACAAGGGGGGGGGTAAATTTCATTTGAATGAACTTGGAACCGTTTAGAGATCAGAAGTTGTATTCATTTCCGGTGAAACAGAAAGCGATCGAAAATAATTGAATACGTCAATCAATCCTGATTTATGTTATACAGGGTGTCCCAGGCTGAGAGTGCATTAGAAGTTTCTAGAGAACTACAATATCTAGGTATACATAGGAAAAATTTTGCACATCATTGTTTCATAATGAGATCTACCAATTAAAAATATTTTCAATATGGTGGCACTTCCGGAAATACCGGAAGTTAATAACAATTTTCCTATTTCAAATGGGTACCCCATTTTTTATTATATATTTAAATTCTGCATAAAATTTTAAGAATGTTTATATTAAACACTCTAACTCTATATATTAACGCGTTTTTGAGAAAAAAAATATTTAAAATTTTTGAAGGAAAAAAACTGCCTGTCAAAAACCTGTATAGCCTAAACGTCAAATTTAGTGATTACCACAGCCACTGTGACATCAAGAGAAGATATGTATATCTATTTCAAAAAATAAATTGTTCGAATGTCATATAATATTGGCCAGCTAGGGCCAATAAAAATCAATCAATTGAGCGATTAAAAACATATTAGAAATCGTTTTTTTTTCAAATGGAAACCCACTTCTTTTGTTTCACTAGGGGAAAAGTTTTTTTAATTCATTACGTCTTCATTGTACATGTTCCTCTACCTAAAATAAATCATTTTTAAGTTATTTAAGATTTAGTTTTAAAGCGTAAAGTTTTCTGCTTTTTAACTAGTAGCCTATGATTTTATATATCTGGCCATATCATAATGCCATTAGATATCACTAAAATACGAGATATATTTTTATAAATACACTTTATAAAGTTTTAGGAGGCAGTAGTTATAATATAGGAAATTAAAATAATTAATTTTTTGACAGAAGGAAATAACCGTCTGATGGTCTGACACTTAAGGTCAAAGGAAGGCAGTTAAAATCAGGAAAAAATTACGCTTTAAAACTGAATTTTAAATAACTTAAAAACGATTTATTTTATGTACTTATAGGAAAATTGGAACTTTCGTTGCACGTCATCAATGACACCATGCGTCGTCTTATGGAGTTTGCTGGTGGTCGTATTATGATGCGCAACGAAAGTTATTTTAATTTCCCTATATATGAAAATGTATAATAAAAAGTAAAGACTTGAAAAAGAAAAACTTTTTTCTAATTAAATAAAAAAAGTTGGTTTCCATTTGAAAAAAATGATTTATGAATTTATGAATTGTTTAATCTCATATAATTCAATCTTATAATTCCATCACATTCCAACCGCTACGGCCAATATTATATGACATTCAAACAATTTAATTTTTGAAATAGATAGTCATATTTTTTCTCTTTATGTCATAGTGGATGAAGTCACAAAACATCCCCCTTTAGAACTTCGTCTGTCATGTTAAGAAATGAAAGTAAATGATAAAGCACCTCTCGTGTTTATTCGCACTCAAACATTTTCAATTAATGCCTGTATATATTTTTAATATATTTTTTAAATTTACATTTTTTTAATTGAAAAGTATATTACATAACAATTATGTCAATTATAGGATTTCAAGCTTGTTTTCTAACATTTTTTAAATAAAACGAATTATAAAATTTCAATATATTATGTATATATGTCGTAGGTATGAAAAAAGTAAAATATAAAAGGGACAAACGCTTACTTACATTGCAATAAAACTTCCACTTTTACTTTTGCAATCCAAACGCAATATTTCTATTTCACAAATAAAAATATCCGACAACACTAAAATCACTGAAACTTCCGCGGCTGACAACGAAATCTGAAAAATATAAGGGCACTTTTTGTTTTGGACCTGCATATTAATATTACGCTGTACTATTATGTGTTTGTTGTTGAAATAATATAAAATATCTAATTATAACATGTAAATTTTAACATTTTAACATGATTTTAACTACTTTTGACAATAACTAACTTTTTATCAAGATGACATTTTAGACGGCAACTGACATATGTATATGTCATAATATTTATTATAATAATTTTAATCTAAACATATTTTAATCTTAAATATGTATGTAATATAATTTAAATTACTATAATGCAACTTTATACTAAGAAAACATTTATACATTCAGTGGCGTAACAACAGACTCACGGGCCTGTGTGCAAAAATTTTACCGGCCCCTACATATTTACACCTACATATTTCAATACTTATATACTAATCTGAATAATATGCACTCATATTTTAGGTTAGAAATAACATTATCAAATTAATTTTTATATAGTATTATTTATTACTACAACATAGAATATGTAACCCAAAACATATAAAATACAAAAAAAAAATAAAAAAAAACAAAACAAAAAACAACAACAAAACTAACTAAATTAAAATAAACAATGTAAATAGGATCATGAATATGTTAAAATTCTTTTTTCCTTGCTTTAGCATGGGCGAAAGTTGACTCAATATTACCAATGTCTATTGTACGAGTAACATCATTTTCTATTGAAATAATTGCCAAAAAAAGTGGCAGTTTCGGACACCTCTCGTAACTTAGCTGCCTTATCGTCCCCTTAATACAACCATTAGGTAACTAGAGTTTTTGTGATTTTGAGTTAATTAGTTTGGCCAGTATATTTTTTCATGCTCTTTTTGATGCTACAACTAGCTTAGTTCTATATCTATTCGATGGTACAGAAATCCAGTGACAATACAGCAAATTTCCTTTTTTGTCAAATTTAATGCTCTAATGAAAAATCACATATTTCCAGTTATTTTTATTTTGCAAAATAAAAAGGAAAACACAGCTACAAAATTGCACAAGAACAAGTGTAAAGTAATAAGATATTTTCACGATAGCGTGTGCTAGTTAAGTAGTTAAGAAGACATGTGATAGATAAGAACTTAGTTCGGGATCGCCCGATTCTGCTTGATTCGCCATAGCATGTGATAGATATATGGGAATGCGGCACGGGCCCCTCCAGGGCCCGGGCCCTTGTGCTGCACACACACGGCACATCGATAGTTACGCCACTTTATACATTCACAAAATACAACAAAGTCTAATAATATAGTTTGAAAACAATGAATATTGAATTAAAATTGAAAAAGTTAAGCGCGACCCCTTGTGTCAAAATTAGATGATTAAATTTTCGCAATTTTTACACCATTTGATGACCGGTGGCGCCTCTAGTGTTTGTTCGGGCGGTTGGTCTTTTACTCCCTCTTATGGCCATTAAAGAAAAAGTTCTAAAGGGGGATGTTTGTGGATGTAGTAATCACTAAATTTGACGTTTAGGCTATAAAAATATTTTTTTGACAGGCAGTTTTTTCCTCCAAAAATTTTATTTTTTTTTTCTCATAAACGGTTAATGTTAGGTATAGAGTGTTTGATATCAAAATTCATATAATTTTACAGAGAATTTAAGTAATAAAAAATGGGGGTTCCCATTTAAAATAGGAAGTTGCTGTCAACTTTCGGTATTTCCGAAAGTGCCGCCATATTGAAAATATGTTTAATTGATAGAGCTCATTGTGAAACAACGCTGTGCAAAAAATCTCCGATCTAGATCTTGTAGTTCTCTAGAAACTGCACGCTCAGCCTGGGACACTCTGTATACTAACATACCAAATTTCGTTTGTTTGGTTGAAAAAATAAAAAAAGTTATAGATATGAGCCGCTTTTGAAAAACACCCGGTAGGTGTAACAGGGGAGTGCGGCTCATGCGGAAGCGGGGAAAGCGCCGCTTTGCTATATGTTGAGACAAAAAGAAAACAACTTTTTTAATTAATAATTGGAATGTCTGTAGGTATAAAAAAATATTTTTTTCACTTTTTTTATTACCTTTATTTAATCGCTTCCCCTTCCAAAACTTACACCGCACGCCCCTGTGTGCAACATGTTATGTGTATAACCTTTATTCCTCTAATTGTAGGAACCAAAGTAGGAACTGAATCTATGTAATATTTTGAGCTAAACAAATCATGATGAGAAAAACTTCTGTTTTTCTGTCATTTTAATTCTCTTATTCTGTATATTTATACAAGGTGTCTCAGAAATAAGTGCAAGTATTTTAACTGGTAGTATAGTTCAACCCCAGAAACACGTCTATGAGGTTCTTTTCGTGAAAAAAGAATTTGAAAATTCGGAATTTTTTGAAAAAAATTTTGGAAATTTTTTTAGTTAAAAAACATAATTTCTTGATATTATGGCAACATACGTAGTAGATTAAATTTACAAGAAAGAAAATCCAGAAAAGATCCAGTGAAAATTTTGGCAAAAAATCATTTTTTTTTAGAAAATTTCAAAGTAAAATAACTCCGTTACTTTGGACTTATTTGAAAAACGATAAAGAGAAAATATGTTTCTTTTATCGAGATCTACCACCCCTTAAAATACTTGCACTTATTTCTGGAACACCCTGTATAACCTCTACCTATAGGCACGTACTATAGGTATATAATTTGAGGAAATAATTAAAATAAATAAAATACCAGTAAGATAAATTTAATTTTTTTATTAAAATATGAAAAACCTAGGATTTAATATCACAGTTAACAAATATTAGTTTTGTACCATTTTAATTTTTTTACAAATTCAATATTATTCTCCTTAATCTAATATCACATAAATAAATACTATAATAGAATAAAGCTTTTAAAGAATTTGCGATAATTGTCCATATTTACAAAAACGCAGTTTGTTATTACGAATTTACCACGGTCGCCAAACTTGACTATTGTCACAATCACTTACACTAATCGGAGAAGGCGAGCCTCTTGATGCTGGTGGTGTTAACGGCATACTGTATCCTTGATGGTAGCTATCTTCACTGAAATCACTTGTAGGTCCAACTTTGACTACTAGCGGAACGGATACTTTAGGAGACAAGTTGTCTAATTCGTTTAGCTGACAACCTAGATGCGTCATCAGCCTTGTACCCAGTTGAATGTTGACTCCGGGGGTTGAAGCGAGCACTCTGGACACTTCCTTGGCACAAGTAGTATATCCGGAGCGGAATCGGTCAGCTTCCAAGACGGGATTGTTAAGAATTTGTTTTTCTTTTTTCAATTTTCGTAAATGGGCGACGGTAATCTCCAAAATATCGGCTTTTTCTAGTTTTGTTATGTTTTCCTCGTCCATGGCCAAAGCAGAAACCATCAGATCCTTTAATTCGTCCAGACAGCGATTGATTCTGGCTCGTCGTTTTCTTTCCAGTAATGGTTTCATCACTTTTCTATACTGCATGGTTTTCGACATGGGTTTGGCGTCGTAGGCATGAAGGTGGTGGGTTGTGGCGGGATAATCGTACACAGTAGACATGGCGCGTAAGCGAATTTAACGGCACAATGGTAGCGTTCAAGAACTCGAAGCGTACTAAGCGAGCGTTCGTTTCTGAATGAAGCTCGGAGAGGAGTGCGATGACGTTTTATAAGGGGCTGACGAAGCCAGGTGCAGGACCGCAGCGCGCAAACCGTGGGAATGTGACGGGGTTTGAGCCGGGTGGACTATGCGTGCACCGATGACGTCAAGGGTGAATGCGTGGCGGGAACGTGGGAACTCGTGTAAGGCACGTGAGGGTTGCCGTTCAATGCTTTTTTACCTAACTTATAATATGCAGGATGCAGGCCGACAATAATGAACAGCAATATGTTACTTTGACTTCTTAAAGATGATTTTATTCTCTATTTAAACAATAAAAAAGACAACATGTACCTTGTTTTTATTTTAACATTTTAAACAGAGTTATCCTTAACATCAAGTTTCTGCACAGACGATCAAAAACGGTTCTAACAATGGATCATTTAGATAGAAACATTATTATACATATAGAAATATAGATACACATACATTATGTTGCATCGGAACTCGGGACATAGAAAATCCCATGTAAATTTTGATAAGGCCAAATATTATCTCCCCAGGAGCGCTTTTCTGTACACGGCATCGGTATCGGTAAATTATGACAGTTTTGTATATAGTAAAATTAATTTTGTCATAGTTGTTGTCATAGTTATCGATCGGTCATAGGGTATATATCTAATCTAGATATCACAAATTTGTACCGACGAAGATCGGTATCTCTACCGTGCCCTTGTTAATCCCACTGTAGAGATACCGATAGTCGTCGGTACAAATTTACTATATGCTCTATTAATGGCAGCTAAAATTATGACAACAACAATTAACACCATTTTACTATATAAAAATACTACGTTAATAAAACGCTCATTGGCCATACGTACCGAGAGCTGTCGTAACTTACCGATTCCGACGATTGTCGATGCCGTGTACAGAATAGGCGCTCCAGATGATTTTATGCAGAAGTTGTTATAGACTTTATTGAAGAGGCGTTAAAGTTTTACTCTCTTCTAGAATATCGTTTTATTTGGAATCGGCATTTAAATGTTATTTGCAAAATTTACATTCACATTAATAAAATTTATATAGGGTGTCCCAGAAATAAGTGCAAGTATTTTAACTGGTAGTATAATTCAACCACAGAAACACGCCTGAGTTTTTTTTCACGAAAATTTTTTTTTGAAAATTCGAAATATTTTTAAAAATTTTTTGGATTTTTTTTAGTTTTTAGTTACACAACATAATTTCCTGATAATATGGCAACATAAGTAGTAGAATAAATAAGTAAGTAGTAAATTTACAAGAAAGAAAATCCGGAAAAGATCCAGCGGTTCTCAAAATTTTAGCAAAAAATATTTTTTTTTGGAAATTAAAATAACTCCGTTATTTTGGACTTATTTGAAAAACGATAAAGAGAAAATATGTTTCTTTTATCGAGATCTACCACCCCTTAAAATACTTGCATTTACTTCTGGGACACCCTGTATAATACGGCCCAGAGAGCTACAATTAAAATACCAGTAAAAATATAATTTTGTCATTGTGCCATTTTGTCATTTACATTCAAAGGCCAGATCATGGCCAGATTTTGGGTCACATTTTGTTTACAAGCTATGTTTACAATTTACAAGCCTTTGTGTGGTTTGGAAAGGTTATTTTTTTTATAAATTGGAATGATCATCTAAAAAATAATTAGTTGAGAATAGTATTCACGGTGTATGATTTGTTTGCTATTTTATTACTTAGTCACTCTCGTGGCTTCGCCTCATACCACATGCCCATGCCTACAACCTACATACTCAATAACTCAAGAAATAATCGAAATATTTGAAACTTAAGGAACTTCATTAAATAACCATACTAATTAATAAAATGTTCAAATAATATTCCCTATTCACAGCCAACGAAAGATCAGACATCTGACAGGCCAATTAATGGCGCGATATAGGCTAATTACGTTTCCTTTGGACGTCATCCATTCTTTAATTATAAGGGTATGTACAGTGGAGTAACAACAGACTCACGGGCCTGTGTGCAAAAATTTTACCGGGCCCCCTATTACACCTACATATTTCAATACTTATACTATACTAATCTGAATAATATGCACTCATATTAATTTTAGGTTAGAAATAACATTATCAAATTAATTTTTATATAGTATTATTTATTACTGCAACAGAGAATGTATAACACAAAACATATAAAATATCAAATAAATAAAAAAAATAAATAAAAACAAAACAAAAAACAACAACAAAACAAACTAAATTAAAATAAACAATGTAAATAGGAACATGAACATGTTAAAATTCTTTTTTTCCTTGCTTTAGCATGGGCGAAAGTTGACACAATATTACCAATGTCTATTGTACGGGCAACTTCATTTTCTATTGAAATAATTGCCAAAGCTGATTACCGTTTTTCGCCCATAGTATTTCTTAAATTATTTTTGACAAGCTTTAATTAGGAAAAAGATCTTTCAGTCGAGGCCACAGAAACAGGTATGGTGAAAAAAATATGACACGCTATTAAAATCTCGCTGAAACTAGAAGACGATGAAAGGTTTTTAATTAAAATAAATTCAGTGAGTTCAAAAATGCAATTGATTTCATATAAATTATTTCAGAAACACTGCCTGAAGGAGAGTTGGTAATTGAGAAGAAATCGTATAGGCAATATAATCGGGGTATTTAAGGTATAGAACCTGACCCATTTCATATAATATATGAAATAGGTCAGGTTCTATAGGAGGATATATTATATCCTCATCAGAAACAGAATGATTCTGTTTCATTCGCGATAGCATGTGATAGATTCGGAAATGCCGCCCGGGCCCCCCGAGGGCCCGGGCCCGTGTGCTTCGCACACACGGCACATCGATAGTTACGCCACTGGATATGTACATGACAACCATTAATTGAAAATCGGATCTCCTAAGATTCATGGACGACTTCTTCTAAAGCCCGTCCAATTTCTTCTTGTAAAAGTTAATAATCTTAAGTGTCCGAAGAATAGTGCTGTGGTCTTTTCCTACACCAGCTAGTGTTTTTATTTTCTTTGACTTATTGTTTTCTTCCTGTGCATTATTTTCATCTTCACACTTACATTTGCTAATACCGTGCCTTTGTTTTAAATCTTTGTATTATTCTTTGAATTGTTGACTTAATAATTAAACTATACCTAAAGGTTTGTTCGGATACAGAGCCGCAAACATATCCAACACAACGCGACGACTGTTTCCAGCAAAATGTCATTTAATCATATTAATTTTAGAAGTAGTGAAAATTATAATTATTTTATACAGGGTCCGACAATAATACGTCGGGCATCTGTAGCTCCCAGAATAAACAACTTGAAAATTTTGTTTAAATGCAAATCTAAAGTATGTTCTAGGATGTATTTCAGGAAAATATTTTAACTTCTATAGGGTGGCTTAAAAAAGTGTCAGTGGATCTGGATGATTTTTTTTAATTGAAACACCCTGTATATTATTGCTTTTTTGTCTTCCTTTCAGATCACTCTACATAATCCTAAGATATGATTAAATATGTTTTGATAGTTTCAGAGATATTAATAAATAAATCAAAAAAATATATTCAACCCTTCAAAAAAAATTAAACATATGTACCGGGTGGCCAACTAAGAATGGACGCCGGCTGTATCTCAGAAACTACTTATCGTATAACTTTGGGAAAAAAATTCTAATAAGTAAATCGACCAAGAGAAATCGCTGGAAATTATTTTCAAGTTCGAAAAATGCTCGCTAGGGGGCGTTTCTCTAAGAGCCAATCAGAAAACAGGGTTTTTCTCAAAAATATGCAGGTGAACAGATATTTTAAATATTACTATTATAATCATCGAGATATTTGTAATTTTTTTGACATAGAGTATTTTGTTCTATCTCATAAAATAAAGTGGTGGGGGAAGGTTAAATTTGTTTTTATTAAAATATGGATAACTCTGGTTTAGGTTACGCGATTTAAACAAACTAGGGCTCGTTTAAAAGAGCTTTTCTTCCTTAATGATCTCCAGTATTAATTTTGTTTCCACAATTTTCTTCGTGGTAGCTAGAGGGCGCTGTTTGACATCATAACAGATATTGCGCTTTTGCGTAAAAAAATTATATAGGAGGCTATACTTTTCTTTACACAGTTAAATAGAGCACAAAATTTCCAAAATATCAGCGCAAAACGCAACTTTCTATCTTCTCTCTAACCGGAGATATTAAGAGAACAAATCATTACACACTTAGGATTATATGGTCTAAAAATTAAAGTAGTAGGCTAGGAAACAAAAAGAGGTGAATTGGTTACGTCAAATTATCAAAACATATATTTTAATATCATTCTAATACCATTTAATTATTATTTATCCATATTCGTTCTAGTAGATAGTATAGGGGGTATTTCCCTCCTCAGCTTCCTCCTCATACTGCCTCACCGGAGCCGCACACTCCTCCCACTACCAATACACATATTTACACATATTTACACATATACCCACATATACATCTTCCTCAGATCACATAGGGGGCCGCACACTCCTCCCACTACCAATACACATATTTACACATATACCCGCATATACGTCTTCCTCAGATCGCATAAGGGGCCGCTCACTCCTCCCACTTCCAATACACATCTTTTCGCTTATATCCCCACACGATTTGTCCCCTCCACATTTTTTATTATTCTTTATTTTATTCTCAGATCATATATAGTTCAAACATAAGAATGTAAGGTAGTTCTTTATAATTTTGTAAAATAATGAAGAGTAATGTGCAACACTAAAAAAATAGCTAATGTCATTAAAAAGTTATTTAAGAAATATATTGATTTTCGTCAAGTAATTTCTCACCAAGTGATATCAAGTAATCAAAACCCTGATTTATTGTTTCCACTCATACAAGATTGTTATAGGATAATTGAGTTCTGTGCTGATTTTTTATTACAAAAGCTTAATCTTTTGGAGTTTGTGCGTGTATTGGGAAAAACATATTTTGCATGTGAACTAAGTTACATTGTTCCATTTTTGAGGATAAAAAAGGATTCC